TTAGGCAAAGATCTAAAAGAAAGAATTTATGACAATTAATTATTATATTTTTATTTTATTAGATAAAAAATTAAACCTACTAAAGAATAGAGAGAGTAAATGGTTAAAATAGATGATAGTTCTGAATTCAAATTAATTTCTTATGAGCATGTAGTAATTTTTTATCTCTAAATTTATTTTAGGCAAAGATCTAAAAGAAAGAATTTATGACAATATAAGATACTAACGTATTAGTATAATAGTATTTTTTATGTTGTAGTAATCATTGTTTTAGTCATTTTAGGCAGGGACATGTCTCTTTCTTTTTTTTGTTAAATATTTGTTAAAAATTTGATAAATTTAAGTACTGTCGATTGAGACATAAGTTGCAATTGGTGTATAAAAAATTGATTTTAATTTTATTAATTGTCTATTTAAAGTACATTACGTGACATTATATTGAAAATAAAATTTATTTTTGTAATGTTTTATATAAGTTAGTAATGAAAATATACAATAAATATACCATAAGGGAAAAACCCTAATGTAAATTACCAATTTGGTGCCAACTCAAAGTTGATGTGGGATAAAAATGGCCACCTCATTGTCGTGTAAGCAATGGACCCCATCAGAAGAACCTTTCCGTTATAAATTAACGATTGTCTAAGGTAAGCCATACGAAAAAGACTTATTTGCAACCATACAACAAGTGGAAAGGTTAATTTGCGTTTGTTTTTAGTTGAAGGGCTAATTTGCCACATTTTACCCAATACAGGGGCTGATTTGCCTTCTTTGCCAATTCCAAACCAAAAATTTTCACTAAATACCTTATTTCTAACTGTTTCAAAATAAACAAATTCATCAAACATCTATCCTTAATAATTTAGACAAGACTACTAATCATTACTTTCAAATTACTATGCCAAATAAGGCTTAAGAAACTATCCTAAATCCGTACGAAAAGAAAAAGAAAGGAAAAAAAACTAAAATTAGGGTGTAAGAAAAAAGAGGTCGCTTTTCCTAGTTCCATCCCTGGGGACTGGAATACGAGTTGCAATGGTGGTTGTTGGTGGCTGTCCAAGGTGGGCAAACGGGAAACGTGTGTTGAACATGTTGGATTGCGTTATTTTCGCCTAAAATCAAGGGATGTGGCAGATTTGATGTTGTACTCTTACCTATTTTGGGGATGTGCTGGGATTTTGAAGTACAAAGCAAAATAATAGAAAGATGGTCAAATAGATTTGTTTTCTTGTCGGACAAATCTTTGAATTTAACTTGATTCTAGGTTATTTATTTAGACTTATAGTAATTTGGGTTTGAGTTAACACGAATTACTTA